GTGTTGGGAGTCCCGACGCATTGCCCATCACTTTAAGACCTGTGGTGTTGGGAGTCCTAAGGGATAGTCCAACAGGTCTTAAAGCGGTGGCAGTAGTGCTGAGGGATAGTCCGACTGGTCGTGGGGTTCGAGTCATTCACAAGACATACAAATTAATATATAAATAGTTTAATAAAACAATAGAAATAATTAAGTGTTTTGTTATTTCAAATACTGAATACATTTCAAATGATTTCAAACATTTGATTATACTTTTAAAATGCAATATTTGTGCACTTATTTTGAGTAAAATTATATTTAATAATCAATTCTATGAAAATATTAATATTCTGTAATAAATTTGTCACAATTTTAAACTAAAAATAATTATAATTTTAAATAGTATTTTATTTACTGAACGCCAGAATATACTCGATATACATGTATATTACGTAATAAATTAATAACATTTCAATTTAACCACATTCTTCATAAATTGTGGTTAGAAAGTGTCATGATCAATTTGAAGACACCTTTTGTAAATGAAAGCACTTTTAGCGACAAAAAAGTTTCAAAGTTGTAGTAAAGACAACACAACACTGTATGCGCTCTCTATTGCCGTAATTGTGAACACATTTCATACAAACCAAACCATTAGTGCAAATAGTGTTGCGTTTGTCTCACGTCGAGCGTAATTATCGGTCGCTTTTGTGGACCCAATCGATGGCCCGAAGTGTGAGCCGAAGCCGCAGTCGGTCTCCAAACAGATCCAAAGGTTTGTCTCACTTTTAGCACTCATTTCATGATTGTTGGCATCGATTGTCACCGCATTGTTGTTGTCGTTGTCTTCGTATCCGCAGACCGTTTGGCGAAACGCAAAGACTATAGAGATTACGACAGTAAGGGCTCGAGAGGTGGCGGAAGTGGTGCTGGAAGTAGTGGCGGACGCGATAGGGATCGGGACAGAGATAGAGACAGAGATCGCGGCGGCGATCGCTTGAATCGCGATCGTCAAAGAGATCGCGACCGCAATAGAGACCATTCAAACGGTTAGTCCCGATAACAGACACACATATCACTGATATTCACACTATATTTATGTCTTGGGTTTGGGAACAGATCGCCGCAGAAGTCGTTCGCCCCCTATTCGTCGGCGTCGCAGAAGTCGATCCAAGTATTGAATGCATATTTAATTGTCTTAAAATGAATACTAATGAATGTCTTGTGGAAAGGGAGAAGAGTTCTTCGGCTAAACCACAGGAGTCGCGGCCAGAGATCAGCGAAAAAGACTTGGAGGGAAAGTCGGCCGAAGAGATCGAAATGATTAAGGCTATGGGTTTCGTGGGCTTCGATACCACTAAAGTAACACTTGTTTTATCACTTATTGTATCATAACTTATGATTCATAAGTTAAGATTCTTGACTAAACTGACGGATCAATTGTCCTAAACCACTGTCTAATGCCATGCATTGAATGATCTATTCTTAGGGCAAACACGTGAAGGGGAACGACATATCGGCCGTTCATTTGCTTCAGAAACGCAAATACAGGTCCGAAACGTGGCTTTAATTGTTATTTTTAGCTATAATTAAGTCTATAATCAACTAATTGTGATTTAAATGCCATTATTTCTTAGACAATACATGAACCGAAAGGGAGGCTTCAATAGACCCCTCGATTTTGTGGCCTAAACCCCCGAAAACCCCTCTAAACCTCTGGAACTAATCAATAACGTGGACATCATTTGTGATCATTATTTTGCTCTCATTTTTCAAATGCATTTGTTTTGTAAATATTTTGTTTGAGTAAAAGTTTTGACAAACAAAACACTGACTTATGTTTTATGACAATTGATTTACCATTGAATTGATCGCCGAAGAAGTGGTGCCGAAGACACGTAAGTAATCTTTGAATGTTGTGATTGTGATTAAACACTTCGGAGGACGAGATGTGGTTCAATATAATGAGCGAAGAGTTGTTCACAAATGAGTTGCAAACTATTGAATGCAAACAAATCTCTTCGGACTCGCATTCAATCGATAATCTCTTCTCAGATGATGTCCACAGAAGACGATTGGGATTCAGGTAGTGATCGATCGTAAACTCGTGTCTGTATTGAATTGTTGTGATTAATGTCTTCGTGTTGTCCACACTCTGTGGCCGTCGTGTCTATGGTATAGGACTGAGCCGTTTGTTCGGCCACCGCTTGAGATCACTTTGCGGTCCAGATATCGGTTTAATCTCAAAGAGTTGGAGATCGGACTCAAGCTTAACGACAATCAGAGCTCTTCGCTGGAGATCTATTCGGCCACCGATTCTCAAGACTATCGTCTAATCGCTCGACAATACGATTGCCGGCCATTCGACGCCCTGTCCCTCAAGAATGTCTGCTTTCGACTCAATTCGACATTAAGTGC